TTCAATTCCCTGTATTCACGTAATAACAATACATGGAACTGTATTTGACTTTGAATTTGCACAAGTCTAATCTGGTTTGGGAGCTCCGAGTTGTGGGATGGGATGTCAAATACGGAGCTGAATTCGTGCCGACTGCTGAAGACGGGTATGCCATGATCATATCGGAAACGAGAAAAGTCTCCTCCGCCGATGAAACAGTGATTTCCGGTAGCTTCGAAACCAGTAATCCCGGAAAAGTTGTTCTCACCATTGATAATCAAACATTTAAGAAGAAGAAACTTCTTTATCGGTTTAAGACCAAGGCTTATTCTTATTGAAGATTTCAAATAATCAATGGATTTAGATTTCATTTTTATTGAATTTTAATTTGTATATTTAGATCTTTTGAGATTTTTTTTTATATTTTTTATTAGTTAATCGGATTTTGGTTTTATTTAATATGGTTATATATAAGGAACTACTTTTTTTTATTGTGAAACCTCATTTTGTTTGTAAAGTTTGTTGGAAAATATACCGTCTTAAAACGAAGTGTTAGCATTGGCTGTAAGTATTAAACAAAATGATTATATGAAACGATAATCGTATCGTGGTAATCTATTGTTTTATAAGCGAATTCGTCTCGACATGTGTAATCGTTACAATAGACGAATGACACCCCAAGGTTAGTGAGACTCTTCAAATTCTGTACATGCGAAAGATAGAGTAGACTTGGTGGTATTGCTCTTCTCTCAAATCCTAAAGCGACACTCCGAACAAGTTTATAAAAACCAAAAGAGTGTTTCTAAAACAAACAGTTGCTTAGAGGCATTTATCTTGAAGTGTCATATGAAATGGAAAAATAAACATCCATTTATAGGTTTAATATAATGGTAAAATGGTAAAATATTAAATAGCAGTTACAAAATAATTAATTGTCATAAACATTATTTTAATGATCATAACTATATTAAATATATTGTAAAGGCTTTAAACTATAAAATAAACTATGATAAATAATATTCTACCGAGATAATCTTGTCTAAAAGAAACACATATGAATTGAATCAGATCATACCAAACGGTTCATATCTAATACAAAATTCTTTGTACTACCAACAATTCATACCCAATACAGATTTCTTTGTACTACCAACAAGTCATACCCAATACAAAATTCTTTGTACTACAGACAAAATTTGTATAAATTTCTTGGCATGCTATATTCGTATTTGTTCATTGATCAGTTATTAGATTGACTTTTCAGAATATGTGCACATAAGGGTTGACTTTTTTAAATGAATGATTTTTTCTAATTATTAAATTAGGGGTTAGTTTTATTTTAATTGTATCAAATAAGGGGTTGTACCATATAGACAGATACACTAAACACTCTTAAATTATAGTTAAAATTTTAAATTGAGATTTAATTTTTAGATATAAAATTAAGGTAAAATAAATATAAGATATTAATAAAATATTGTTTAAATAGTCAAAATATTTAAAGCGTGTTCACATAAAAGTTGACTTTTTCAAATGGTCAAATAAAGGGTTATTTTTTTTAATTAGGTCCGTCAAATAAATGATTTGCATTATGCAGTTATGGATTAATTATATAAAATGTCTTTATATTATAATTTAAACTCTAGATCAACTGATACATCTAATGTAAAATAAATATAGGGCATTAACATAAAATAGAATTATTTTGTTGTTAAAGATTGTGTAAATTTCTTGGTATTATCTTTCTATTTGTTCATTGATCGTTTGTTTATTTTTATTTGGCTAAATGATTGGATTGGGGTTGACTTTTAAGGATGTGTTTACATAAGTATTGACTTTTTAAATGGTTAAATACAGTTACTTTTTAAAATTAAAACAAATACGAGATTGTGTTACATACATGTAAGATTAATTTATATTTTAAATAAAATAATTTAGATATAAGATATTAATGTAAAATATTATTATTTAAATGATTGGAATATCATGTTGGAATCCTTGTGTATACAGAAAATCCTCGTTGGGAGACTCACTCATCAAAACAAGGTGTACTACCTGAGTCATCCAGATTAGTCAAGGCAAAGCCTTGAAACAAGAGGGCAACAAAAAAATATTAATGTAGAAGTTATTCTCATCATTGATAATCAAACATTTAAGAAGTGGAGAACTTATGAGGTGGTATAAGTAATAAGAGTGGAAGATATATCTTCTTAGAATTTTTTGAGTTTGAGTAGTTGTATTTATTTAGACTTGGCAAATTTGATCCGAACACGATTATCCGAATCGATTTACTCGATCCAATACTTGATATTAACACGGATATGATGATCAAATTTGATTTGAAACCCGAACCATACCTTACCTAAACTATACTCAATACAAAATTTAGTTGACCCAATATGGACACATATTCAATTTGACCCGAATAAAAAATAATCCAACTGAAATTAACCCGAATCGAAAGTAATCTGAACCGAAAATAATTGAACCAAAACAACCTGAACTGAATTTAGACCTATCAAAAAATAATTCGAATCGAAAGCTATCCGAATCAAAAGCAATCTGGATCGAAAATCAATATATATTTGATTAGACTTATAACTAAATTAAGCCTAAATGATAAGATTAGCAAACGAAGACATGTTTTTATAAGAATATAACAATAATTCTATATATATTTTATTAGACTTATAACCAATTCAAAGGTTCCCAAATCGAAATCAATCGATCCGATATTAACCCAACCTAAATCTAACCGATCTGATATTATCTCGACCCAAAAATCAATCGATCTGATATTAACCCAACTTGAAATCTAACCGATCTGATATTAACCGACCCAAAAATCAATCGATTTGATATTGATCCGAACTGAAAAACAACCGATCTGATAGTCACCTGACCCAAAAATTGACCCACCCAAAAATTGACCCGACATACTACCCAACCCGACCCAATTTACCATACACCTAAACTAAATTCGAACCAAACCTGATCCGACCCGAATAAAATTAAATCAAATATAATCTAGACCCGAAATGTCCTGACCCAAACCCAATTCGAATGACCCGTTTGCCACATCTATGTTTATTACGTGAAAATGATATTTTTTTAATAATGATAACTTGATTTCATTGATAATGGAGAGAATCAGAATTACAATGCTCTAAAATATAGAAAGCAAATTGAAGAAAATAATCGCTAAAATACTCATACAAAAATAAAATATTAAATCTAAAGTTACAAAGAAAAAAAACCTTCAATTGAAAATGGCAACCAACATAAATAAAGCCAATAACCTTCATAAAAACTCATTGTCTATGTCGAATGAAACGTTTTACGAAGTAATGAGCAAACCAACCAATCCGACAGATTGTTTCATAACGCAGTTTTGATTATATCGGCAAACAACATTTTACCATAGAGAGGATCTAACTATACATGATCACCGACAAATCAATCAGAAAATAAATATCGTGATGATTGTTATGAGAGCACCAAAACGATCGCAAAGGTGCGTGAAAAACGTACCAAACATCATAAGGATCGTGTCTGAAGAGTAGAGAAAACGCGTGTCACAAAAGCAAAGAAAAAAGCGTCACAATAACAGAGATTTTTATTTGAAATTAAAAAGACTCAAGAAAGAAAAGACATATTTTGTGACGGAGATTTTTATTTGAAATTAAAAAGACTCAAGAAAGAAAAGACATATTTTGTGACGGAGATTTTTATTTGAAATTAAAAGGACTCAAGAAAGAAAAGACATATTTTAAAAACCAAAAAAACTAATAATCATCTACGATCGACAACTAACATTAAAATTAATGTCACCGTCGATTAAACAAAAATTAATGAAAAAAATGAGACTAAAATATTGTAAGAAAATTAGATCGAACAAAAAGGTAGAGGTCGCTAGCAGGTGAAAATGATATTAATACGAGCATATGTAAAAGAACATATAAACAAATAATAATATAAAAGAATGAAAATTTCCATATAATTAGAAACTAAAGAAATCAAAATCAGAATGGACGGATTCGAGGTCGAGTTCACTAAGATGAAAGAATAAATGCTTAACCATTTAACCAACTTTAAAATCGACAATATATTATATAATTTAGACCAAGATTTGTTCAAAAGAAAATTAGACTAGAATTAATAAATAATTCATATTTATTATAATACATATATAATAAAATATTAATATGTTTAATAATATTTATTACTTTCATAAAAATATTATTTAATATAAAAAATATATTAAGAAAGACAAAATGACTTAAAAATAAAAAAAATTATATCAGTACTGTCGTTAAAGTTTTAGTTATTATAACCAAAATTTAAAAACGTAACAAAGAAATAGTTGGATAACATAATAGACAAGAGACAATCATTAAGTAACTAATGAAGCAATTTACCCTAATCTTTTAAAAAAAATGGAATCAAACAAGCACTGGATCCAATGTATTCTGACAAATTACAAAAATGCCAGCCGGTGAAAGATTAAAAAAAAGGAAAGCACTTCAGATTTTAGATTTAATTATGTTTTCACATTAAAAACCTACTAATAACAATAATTAGTGTAACACAGTAGCAGGCAGGTCCCTCGCTCAAAGGACCCTACAAAAGCTAGCTACCTTCTTTTTCTGCTTTTCAAAAATTAAAGATCTTAATTTATATCCTTCAAAATTAGTCTGTAAAGTGAAAATGTAAGAGGGACTTCAAGTGCAAAATAAAGAAATATATTGTACCTTCCCCCACCCAACCTAATCCACCTACAAATTGAAACCTCAACAAACGCATGGCATTTCAAAGCCTTTAGTCATCAACTTATCATGTTCCCACATGTCCTACAAAAGTTAGAAACCATGATTGAGCTGCATGGTCATGCATGATGAAACATGCATCAATCATGGCAAAGCCTCGAGTTAAAATCCAGACAACATCAGTATTCTCAACTCAAGTCTTTTAAATGCTTAATGGGGATTTATAGGTCCAAAAATTATATACCAAATAGAAACTATGGAATAGGAAAGATAACATAAACCAAAACAATCCCTCGTGTTCTTACAAATCTATAAAGAGTATAAAAGGTTCCACAATATAGACATGATACACAAGGAAAATATACAGTGCACACACCAGGGTAAACCCTACATTATGACCAAAAACAAATTTCAAAACCATGAACAACTTGCTTGTCAGCCATGCCCTTCACAGTCGATGCAAAACAGAGAAAACTGAACAAGTGAATTGTCCAAAATTTAGACAAGAATAAATCAAATCATACTACGGATAGTACCCTCAGTTACAGAAGGGTTTAACCTTGAACCTGTAGAGAAGCTTCTTCTTTTTTGAAGTCGGGTTGTCAACTGTGAGCAATACTTTACCCAGTTCACTAACTCTGAAGCTTTGAGACACAACCGGTTCATCTTTTGAAGTCATCTTTGACGGTTTTTGGATGATGACAGCATAGCTATCTTTGGAATCAGGCACAAATTCAGCTCCATAGCTCACCTCCCAACCGACTACCCTGATTTCCCAAACAAAAACACATTTCTGCAATGCAAAGTTTTTCGCATTAATATAAGTGGGATTAGATCTTACATTCATCATCACTGGCACAGACACCGAAGCACATAGTAGCCAAATATGTTTAGTTAAAATCGGTGAATGAGATTAGCAGGATGAAGAAACAATGGAATTCGAACCTCAAAGATTGATATTTCAACAGTTTGTTTTGTCCCCGGTTTCACAGTCATTTCAGTGGCAGGATCGGAATCGCTGAATTCCGGGTTGCAATCACAATAATCCACACTCAAACCACCATATTGAATAGGCACTTGCTCAGGTGGTATGTATCTGTTTTACACATCATATATTTCAGGAGATTAACCACTAAAAGAACCATAGGTACTTAGAATAAACACTAGGATAAATCACCCACTTGAAAAGGGTTTCAGCAGATTTTGCTGGCAGTGCAATGACAAACTTGCTCTTGGTTCTTTGTGTCATAAATGGACTAATCATTGTATAGAATGCAAGATACCACCAAGGAACGTTAATGAACACCTAAACAAAATATGAAACCCAAATCAATGCATCTCCCAAAGAATCTAATAGACAGTAAAAACAGAACATTATGGGTATATAGATAGATAGATAGATATAAAGCAAACCTGTTTTGCAACAAACTCTGGATAATTATCTTGGAGAACCTGAAGAGCCTGCTTAGTTGCCAATCTAAGCTCCTTTTTTGCAGGTCCAGGCGAATTTTTGAGGTCACTAACCTGGAAAATGGTGGAAACACCACCAGGACTAAAATCAAGCTTTCTTATACTCTTCTCCAAAAGCTGAATTCGCCATCGCAGGAACTTCTTTCGCTTTTCCTCATCGGAAAATGCTTTCTGGTACAATTCTTTATTCTGAAACTCCCCATAAACATTGTAACAAACAGGGTGCCCTTCCTTGTCTTTTCCATGCATGAACACAACTTTGTCCATGTCATCACCAAGATCTTCATCCAAAAGCTCATCGATTCCAAACTCTTTCCTCCACTGGATTGTGTTTTTGATCATCACATACGCATCTTTAGCTTTGAAATCCCTTGCTCTCAAGAACTTCAAAAGGATGTCATCGCTTCTGTCATCTTTTAAAAGAGAAATGCCCCAAATGGATACCTCTTTTGGTTCTTGTTTCTTTTCCTTTTCTGGGTTCTCTTCACTTTTGGATTCTGAATTGAAAAGGTTAGAGTCTATAGCTTCTTTTACAAGCTGCTTCAGTTCTTCCAAAGCTTTCCTTTCGAAATCAGATAGATCAGCTTCCTTGTTGCTTTCCTCTTTGAAAGAAACCAGATTTTGGGGAGCCTTTTTCTCTTCAACAACAGCAGCCACCTCTTCTTGAGCAGTACTACTACTCGCTGCAGTAGGCTCTTCATCTTTCTCCGTCACGGCCTCCAGTGATTCCGACCCCGTGACCACCTCCGGTTGCTGCGACTCGGATTCCGATATCACAGCAGTTTCTGCTTTTGGAGCTGGTGGCGCTCCTTCCTTTTGTGTCTCTGTTACGGCAGATGGCTCAGATTCTGACTCCACCGCTTGCGGTGGTGGCGTTGGAGGTAGTTCCTCTTTTCCCGACCCTTTATCCATTGAATCAGGATCCAAATCTGTCGGTTCGTGTGGCAGCGGTGTTTGCTCTTCTTTTTCAACTGTAGTCGTTGAAACGGATTCGGTAACAGAAACAGACACAGCTCCTACATGAGATGGTGGAGAAGAGTCTTCTTTTTCTAAAACAGCAGGTGAACCAGTCTCGGTCACCGTAGGCGGTGGCGCTGCTGCCACAGGGGGACTCTGTGTTGTAGTTTCATCGGTCATGTTTGGTTGTTTGTTGTATGGAAAAGTTAAGAGTGCGACTGTGAAACGAAGAAGTGAGAAGGTTCATACGGACAAGGAAATATCTGGAACGGTAACAATATGGAAAACGGAATCCTATGCTATAATGTCCAATCTAACCAAATGTAGACTAGACATCAGTGGTATATGATATTTTAGTTTAAATTAATTCAAATTATTATTATTATTGTATTTAAAAATAAATAATATATATCTTTAATTTAAAATTTTATCTAAATATTATACATGAATATTCTTAAATTTTTTTACACAATCCGAAATATAAATTTGATATATACGAATAATATAATTTCAATTATATCTTTTTAAAACCATATATCGATTAAAATAGTAAAATAATAAAATATAAATCAATTAATTAAATATATTAAAATTTTAAAACAAATAAATATTAGAAATGGACAAATGTAAAAGGTTTTCATGTTTGAAGGGCATTGATCATATTATGGTGTATTTCTCGAAAAATCATTGGTGATCGGTATCTTTACTGATCTAACACCGGTCAGATTATATTTTTAGATCTAACACCTGTAGCAGTAAAGCGCGCCCCCTGAATCGTGTTATATGTTGATTTGGTGTCACATGGGATATAGCGCGCCCCCTGTACCGCGCTATACGCTGACATGGGTTACACGTGTGTATAGCGCGCCCCTTTATCCGCGCTATACGCCACGTAGGGGTATAGAGCGGATCAGGGGCCGCGTTATACGCCACGTATGGTGAATTATATTTAACGCGGTTCTTGGTCCGCGCTATATCTTTTATCTGAAAAATTACATATAGCGCGGTGCAAGTACCGCGCCTTATATGGTTATAAATATCCTCCTCCGCCGGTTAAGTTTCTCAAATCTCCTCGCATCTCTCTCTCAACTTATAAATTAATACAACAATTATGTCAACGAGTAATAATTCTGGCAATCTTCTCATATTTGATTTAGAAGTTCGTGCGATTTTTCGTTATAAGGTAATTTTGTTATAATTTTTTAATTATACTTATTGTTTATTATCATTATTTGAAAAAATATTATACTAATTATTTTTCAATTAATTTTTATGTTTGTAAAATTGAAAAGCGGGAGCATACGTAGAAATAGTTTTGCGGTACATGTAATAATATAAAATTATATTATTTAAATTATTTACGTTGATGTGTAAAAAATGTATTGTGTTATATTTTCGTTCATATATAATTTATTTAATCAGGTTTGTTTCATTTTTTTTTTGCAGATATAATATTGTCACACTTTTAAACTCAAAGAATGGCGCGACTTTCAGCTATTGTTTATTATGATGGTGAAATTCGAGAAGATGAAACCGACGTTGTTTTCGTATCAAATGAGCGTGTTAAAATATCATTCAAGAGAAACATAACTCTTGAGGAGCTGATAACGAAGATTTCGAGGAAGATTCATGTTGGAAGTAGTAGAAGAATGTCGTCGTTGCAGTACAAATTTCCAACATCATTGTTGCCATTAACTTATACAGCGTTCGAACTTTCGAACAAAGATGATGTTCAAATGATGGTTGAAGTTCAAAGTAATTATTCAGACGCCGCTATTGAGATGTATGCATATTTTGTTCAAGTGCGTACTTTTCGGGGTCAATCATTAAGCTCCCACTATGGGTAGGCTGAATAAGTTGATCAAGTTGACAGCCCGACTACAGTAATGTGTAATGGTTTTAATGCCATAATGGGGAGACATTCATCCGCAACTCCTTATGATATGTACCGAGGTGGGTCCACGAACAATCTGTATGGCAACACCGCGTCCAGTTCAAGGGGAAAACATTCATCTGCAAATTTCTTTGACCTTAATATGGAGATGTCATCGACACAACAATCTGTGCAGTTTCTATTTGACACGATGGCTTCAAGCTTCAGGGGGAGGCATTCGACTGCGAGCTTTTTCGATCTCAATGTCGATATGCCTTCTAGTTCAAGGGAAAGACATGCAAGTAGCAGGTTCTTCGACCTAAATATGGAGCGCATAGAGGAACCATCATCTCCACCAGAAGAACCGCTTCGTGAGCCTGGTGCGGATGGTGCTGAGACTGGACTATTCATTTACCCAGAATCACCGCAATTCAACTCCGATGATAATGAAGTTCCAGGAAATGTGGCACAAACTGACCCTCCTATACACATGTATGAAGCTGATTATGGTGTAATGTACGGGCCAGAATTTGCGGATATGCCTTATCTCGGTGACTATGGATATTACTCATCAATAAATAATGGTGAGTTATCTTTAGGCATGGAGTTTTCAAGCAAAGAAGAAGCGATGATGACTATCAAAAATTACAATATCCGTAATTCTGTTCAGTCCAGAGTCAACCAATCGACGACCGAAAAATATGTATGCTACTGTGCCCGATGCGAAAACGTATGCAATTGGATGGTTCGCGTATAGAAAATGAAGAGGAAAAACAACATATGGGAACTAACAATATACAACGGTCCTCACACATGTTGTGCTGGAGGGGTCAACCAAGATCATCCCAACTTGGACTCTGAAATGATATGCCAAGCCATCATGCCCATGGTAAAAGCAAGCTCTCATATAGCTGTTGCAGTGTTGATTTCAGCTATACAATCGCAGTATGGGTACATTGTCTCCTATAAAAAAGCTTGGTTGGCAAAACAAAATGCCATTGTCAAACTTCATGGCGAATGGGATGCATCTTACAACGAACTTCCAGGTTGGTTTAGGCTGGTACGGACGTTGAATCCTGAGACAATTGTGGACTTCGAAACCTCCTATGCATACCATAATGATTGAGTTCTTCGCGATCGAAGCCAATTTACCTAGTTTTTTGGAGTTACCCACAGTGCGTTAATGTTGCCAAATACTGCAAGCATGTGGTCCAGATCGACGGGACTTTCTTGTATGGAAAATACAAGCAAGTTTTATTATTGACGGTTATCCAAGATGACAATCGCAACATTCCTCCAGTTGCTTTTGCTCTTGTCGAATGAGAAGATACAGATTATTGGGCTTTTTTCCTCCAAAATTTACGTGCACATGTTATCACGAGGGAAGGCATTTGTGTCATTTCAGATCGCGGAGCTGGGATCAAAGCAGCAATGGAGTCTTTGGGTCCAATGTGGCAACCACCCTTTGTCCAACATAGGTATTGTCTCCGACACATTGCTACGAACTATCATGGAATGTACAAGAAGAATGATGAGCGTCAATTAATTGTGCGCATGGGTAAGTGAAAGTAAGTTATACATTTTTTGATCATTTTAATTTTGCAAAGAAAGCAAGTTAGTAAGTTATACATTTTTTTATCAGGTTACGAACTACTACCTCGAACGTTTGAATCAATGCTTCAAGATTTGCGGGCGAAGAACGAGGAAGGATACGATTACATCAGCCTCATCGATAAAGAAATGTGGACGAACGCATATGATGGTGGATATCGATATGGACACATGACGACCAACTTGGCTGAGGCAATCAATTCAATCTTAAAGGGTGCACGTCACTTACCTGTAGCGGCTTTGGTAAAAACTATATATTTTCGTTTGGGGGCGTTTTTTGCGAAGCTCGGGGGACAAGCTCAAACCTGGATGCAAGGCGATCATGTCTATCAGCCTAGATTAGTTGCATATCTACAGGAAAAAAATTGATGCATCAAATGGAATGTCTGCAACAAGCTTCTCTAGAAGGCATGAAATGTTTCGTGTCACAGAGTTGCCACGACCTCTTCAAGGGATTGAAGCTGTGTCGTTAAGAGTAAATCTAAGGGACAAAACGTGCGACTGCGGGTTTTTTCAAGCCCTAAAGTATCCATGCTCTCATGTGATAGCAGCTTACTCGCATACACGTCAAGACTATAACCATTTTGTGGATCCCGTATACCTACTATCTGAAGTTTTTAAGGTATACGAATTTGAGTTTCCCCCATAGGTAATGACAAAGACCCTGATAAGGTTCAAGATTGGCTTCCGATTGTACCAAATCCGAGTTTATTGAGGGAGCGTGGTCGTCCAAAATCCAATCGAATTCATTACGATATAGGTATTCGAGAAAGATCTAGACAAAGACAGAGGATGTGGCCATTGTAGAAACCCATGACACATTAGAAAAACATGTCCACTTCTGTTGTCATCAAGTAACAATTGATGAGGAAATGATGTATTTGTTTATCAAATAATAATTCTTGTATTTTAATTTGCATTTACTTCAAGTTAATGTCATTCGATAATCGCTGATGAAGATTAAAAAAACGAACACAATCATTAAATTTTATCAAACTAATAACAATTTGGTATTTAAATACAACAAACTTACAATAAGAATTAAATGGTAAATGATAACCAAATTACAATAACTGATATTAAATGGTAATAAACAAAATTAACTGAAATATATTAAAAAAAGTCTAACAAATTTAACAAAATAAAATAAGTATTAAATGAGAAATAATATAAAATTACAATTAAACAAAATAAAGTAAATACAAATATAATACAAATATATATCGATGCCTGCATCGCGAATGTGTTCCGCAGGGCGGTGGCTGTCGGTCTCGAGGAGGATTTCTTTGTATCACTAGTTCTTACTCCTGCTGTCGTCGTCGTCGTCCTGAGCAGGTACATTAGGTTGATGATGAGCTGATGACGATGAAGCACCTCCATAGAATAAGAACCATGGATGTGTATGACTGACTATCCCACCGGCCTGCGAAAACTGGGAAAACCCAGACATCGCTGAGTGTGAAAACTGTACAGGAGATATCTGTGCTGCGGCCATGGGTGATGAGGCTGAACCCGCCAAATATCCAGTATATGAACCTTAAGTCAGATCTACAAACATAGACCCATAATAGCCTCTGGGAGGGGCCATCTGTGATGGTGGCGGCGACGGGGTCATAAAACCAGGTGAAGGCGGTGGCGACGACATCTGGTAATGGAAAGGCGATGGCGACATCATATACGGCTGCAGCATCATAAATGGCTGCGGTGGTTGCTGTGAAGGTCCTACTGGTGCAGTTGAGGATGAACCAGAAGCACCTGTTATCCGTCCACGAGTCGGGGGACGATGGTGCTGTGTCGGTGAACGTCTCTGTCGACGTCGTGGAAAGGTCTACCCTC